CATAGTGCTTTTGGTCGGCTTCCCTTGTCAGTGTGTTTCAAATCTTCTAACATTTCACGCAATTTTTCTGTCTCTTCCGAGCTCAGAGGTGGAGGGCCTTTTTTCTGGGATTTTTGTGATTTTTTCGCCTCTGGACGTTTCGTCCGAGGTGGGGGGCGGCTAGGTACGTCTTTTTGGGGTTCCTCTCGGTTCCCAATTTTTTGCGTCCTCCGCTGGTCCCATTTACGATAATCACGTTCGTCCTCTGGAGGAGGAGCCTTTTTATCCCAGCGTGCACCTTCATGATGCGGTTTGTTAGTCTGAAAATACTGCCTTTTTTCTCCTTTTTTAGGAGGGGGTGGCGATGCACGCCTTCCTTCTAATTCTAGGGAGTGGGGTTTAACCTTTACACCAGGAAACACTTCTATGGGCGTCTTGGCATGACAACGTGCCTCAAACACGTTCACAGCGCACTGTTTAATCTCACTGATGGATTTTTCTCTGTAATTTGCCATCATTTGCACTGACGTTTGAATGTCAGGATGGAGATTTTTGCTGAAAACAAATTTAAAACCTTCTTCTTCCTCCATTCCGGTTTCATTTCTGCTACCAAAATAAGCTTGGAAGATTCTTTTGTAATAAACTTTTGGATGTTCATTCTTGCCCTGCGTGACCTTGTCTGCGGCTGGATACCCAGTAGGCCCTGCGCAGGCGTCGTACTCTTTGATCAGAGCTTCACACAGAAGTTTGTAATCCCTTCTCGTTGCATCTGGCAGACGCTCGATGAAGGTAAACACATCTCTGTCCGAAGTGAGTCGTATCAGACTGATTTTATCTTCTACCGTAGCGTTTGGATAAGCTCTCAATCTGAAATCCAGATCTCTGAGGTACGCTTTCGTTCCAGGGGAGCCCAACGGTTCAGGGATGAAACGTTGTACATATTTTGAGATTTTTTGCAAGTCATCCATTGATGGAGAAGATATCAATGGTCTCACATGCGTGATCAGTTGTGGGGGTGTTGCTCTGCCCGTTTGTGTAGGTGATTGGATGGGTCTAAAAGCACTTCGTGAGTAAAGAGGTCGTTGAGTAATTGGTGTATTACCCCGATCCTGTTCAGGGTCTGGTTTTGATTCCAGGTCACCTTGCCCTGGATTCTGACCTTTTTCTATTGCTGCTATTAGTTTCGCCTCACATTTTTTTAAATGTTCCTGGGATGTACAGTAGTCACCTTCTAAGAGCATATTTAGCTTTTGTAGATTTTGTTTATCTATTTTGCATTGTTCCAGTTCAGTTTTTGCAAGCTGCAACTGTTGTTGTAGCACATCGTTATCTTCACACGTGGCTTTGTACTGACGGTCTATTTCTTTAATCTTTTCATAAGATTTTTCTTCTAGTGACGCCTGCATTTTTGAGAGATTCCTCTCATGTGTTTCAGACATCCAGTCAAGGCGTTCCGACCGTTCATCCAATTCAGCTTTTAGAAGCAGGGAGATTTTTGCTAACCGTTCAAGGCTGAGCTTTTTACTCTCTGTATTTAATGTTCCTGCGGCCAGACTTTTCAGCTCTTCTTGTCTTTGAACTTCATCGAGTAGTTGTAATTGCTGTAATTGTGTACCAATCAGTGGAGTTGTTAAAATATGTAATGCCCCCAAAATGATGTCATCATTTGTTGGTTTTAAAGAGGTGTCTTCTTCATTGTCGCTTGGCATTTTTCTTCTATTTAGAGTTTAAACAGGAGAATTTTAATGTTTTAGGTTTTTCAAAATAAATAAAATCAGCAAAGTCTCTTCGTCTGATATATTTACTTTTATTTAGTGATTTATTAATTAAACGTGCACTATCCTTTTAGCAAATGAGTAAACTTTTTCCAACTTTGTGAAAATCTGTAACTGTTTCTATTTTTAAAAAGTTAATGTTTATTTTTGTACCTTATTTTTAAAGGATTTAACAGTGAAATAAACTTTTTGGTGAATGCTCGTTTGCATAAGTACCTTATAACTTTTAAAATACAAGATAACAGTAATTTTCAGCTTTAAGGAACGTTTATTGACTCGAAAATGCTTTTAGAAAGATTAAAACGTTTTTAATTTCACTATTTAGACCTAATAAGCGAGTGAAACCTGTCTTCTCAAGGTTCGCCAGAAGATGTCAGTCTTACCTTACTAATTTTAACTCAGACACTGTTTGTGTTATCCACTAGGGGAGCTATAACTTCCTGTGGCGTTCGGTTGACATCCTGTTGTTAGCCGCTTAGCTTAAAGTTAGCTTCGGCTAAACTCGGTCAAAATCAACATTTCTGAACGGATTTTTTACACAAAAGTGGCACAATTTCAACAAACACGACTTTTTAGCCTGAACATGAGTTTTTGGAACAATATTTCTGGTTCATTTAGTGATTTTAGGCATAGTTTTAAGCTCCGGTCGTTAGCTTGTTAGCTTAAAATTAGCATCGCTAGCTTTGTTTAAAAACATCGTTTTTTGGCGAATTTTAAACTCTAACGTAGCAAAATTTCAGCAAGCAGGCTTCGAAGCACTTGACCAGCGTGTCAAAACCACATTAAAGTTACTTTTCAGCTTTAAAAAGCAGATTTTATTTCCCTATGAAAATGAATTTCATATCCGGGTCACGTGACTGAAATCACCAATGGCAGCAGCGTAGGGTGAGAGGAAGTGACGTAGCCACGTCAGTCAAACCTTCAACCAATGAAAGCGCTCCACAACAGCGAATTCAACCAATCAGGAAGCGTGTTCTCCAACTAGCAAGTTAGATTAGCGTAAAATAGTTCGTCACTTTTTCGTCTTTTAAACCATCAAAATGCACTTTTTCTGCTAAAAATTGTAACGAAACAACTTCTAACTGTGTTCTGAGATGGCACTCAGCTTTTAAAACGTTTATCCATCTGTTCAAAATACTCGTTCAAACTGAACAGAACCGAACTGGTCACAGCCGGGTCTTAAAGCAGAACCTCGTACTTTTTAGACAGAATAACGTCTTCCACAGCTCATTAGCTCTTAGTTACACATAACAGACGTACAAATTCGGCTTACACAAGACTTAATGACACAATTTCAGCTCTTAAAACATTGCCAGCCCAACGCTTATACATGCAGCGTTTGAAAGGTGCAGCTCCAAGCGCGCAGCTCAGCCGCTGCGTAAACATTCACAGCTGATAACTGTTACTTTTTCAACATGCCAACACGTAAATCAATTTACACACGGATTTAACAGTCATTCATGAAACGTACGGGGCCACCAGTTTGTAGTGAGACACGTGAGGTACGTGTCACTTGTTGTATGACAAATATATGAATTATATATGCATACAATATTCACGAGTTCTTCATTTTTCTGACTGTAAATGCCGTGCATTGAATTTAACAGAAATGTGAACGGGAGACGTTATTTATCTTTGACCCATCAAATGAATGGAATCATTTATTTTCAAAATCAAAGTTTAACATCAAACATTTACATTAATTTGGCAAAATATGAAAATAATAACAGACAGTTTCACAGAAAATGAACTTCAAATCACTCGGCGGTGATTTGAGGACTTTGCTTCAGACATTTCTAAAAATATCTGTACTGATTTATGAGAGAGAAGAGTTTAAGATTAAATTGAGATTTATCTTACAGAGGAAATGTGTGAGGGAATTTAATCTGTTTGACCAGAAGTTGCACGCTCCGTCAGATCTCCAGCCTGTCCACGGTACACTTTAGTCGAAGAAGAGGCCGTTACCTGGTTGATGATAGATCAGCTCAGTAAGAATCCTTTTCAACTGATATCAGCGTCTCCGTTGAAAACAGCTAAAATCCTCGAAGAGTCGTGCGTGGTTAGTTCAAAACAGAATTATAATCCCAAAACCTCTGGATTCTTCACGGTTCTGAAACTTTCAGAACCGGCTGCGCTCTCAATCCAACATCTCTCAGAACTCTCAATCTGTTGTCAGCTCTCATTCTTACTTGAACTGGGCAGTTGTCACATTTTAAAATGAGTTTACTTCCTGTTCAGTTTAGAGCTTTCTGATTCGTGGAAGGACCAGAAAGAGGTGTGTTTTTGACGTAAGGTGTTTATCAACAGTCGAGGTCAGAGAATGAAACTTGTTTAACATACAGAAAAGATTATTGCAGAAGCAGCAGACTTTCTGGAGTCTACTCTTGGTAATCTTCTGAAAAAGTTTAAACATGACATTTCTTCTTCAGTAAACATTTTAGTTGACCGAAGACCAACCTTTCACATACTTACGACAGCTTGCTCATTTCAGACAGAAAATCAAGAAAGGCATATTCAGGTGATTTCTTCTCTGAATGAGGAACAAAAATCATTACTTACTGTTTATGTAAAATAAAAATTAGTAGTTCTTTTCAACCTGTAAAGCATTGAGTGAACTAACACAATTTGATTATCAAAACATTTGTAAGACAGTAATGATTATAAAGAATTGTCTTTTCTGCTTGATTAATTCAAGAAAGAAAGTTCATCAGATGGCCCAGACTCATTCAGATCAATGAAAATAACAGTCTCTGTCCATCTGGTAGATTTGAGGTCATCTGGTTCACTACAGTGGCCATAAATTAGTGGAGGGATATTTGTAGCACTGCACTATCTGTTCTTCCATCTGCTGTCCTGCACACAGAACCACAGTGAAAGGTCAGACTGCTGGACAGGCTGCATGTGGGATATTACATCATCAGACTTTACAAACACAAAGACTGAGCTAAAGACTAAAAAGATAATCAAAGGCCTAGCATTCCTTGAATACATTATTACTGCTGGCCTTCAGAGGTTTTAACTAAGATCATGTTATGTTGACAAATTCCGTATTTGTAACCCTTTAGAACAAACCCTGTAAACAAAGTCATGCAGCACTGCGAGTCGTCCCCTCAGAGTGTGTGTTGTTAATGACTATCACCGCAATAAAGTTTAGTTCAATATGTGTAAAACTGACTGTGGCTGCAGGTGATAAAAATTCTGCAGCGTTCAACCAAAAAATGCATAAGTTTGTATAAGTTCACTCACCTAAGGTGCAATAAGGACCAACTTGCACGTAGCCATGGCAGCATCTCATCACCTGCTCCTTTACTGCCTTGTACTCAGTTTGATGGGTCATCTTGTAAAGAGTGACTGGACATGTGGTCCAGAGGAGCCAGCCACCACAGGGCCTCCTCTCAGTGTAGGGGACCTCCTGAACCACCAAGAAACTCACAGTCTTTGTCTCGTTATAGACACATAGATGATAGCCAGATGGGGACAGATTATTTCCTGGAGTTAAAAAAACCAAACATCGTCAAGCGTATTTCATTATTCTTTAAATGCACTCAACTGAATGAACTGTGCCTGTTTAATTTCTGATATCATACCAGTTAGAAACAAAGATAAAATAAACCAGGGGCGCCCAAACATTTTCCCTGAAAGGGTCAAATTTTAAATCTATGTGGGGGCTGCGGGCCAAATGTAATAATACATGAAATACTTCTTTAAGTAAAGTCCATTTATTATACAGTTATTTAACCTTCAGTTCAGTATGAAGAATATCACAGAACAGGCTGTGCTGGTGGTGATGGGAGGTCTGGGGTCCTCCCCCAGAGAATCTTGAATAAAATAGATGCCATTTCCTGCATTTTAGTGTATTTTACAAAGGTTTATTACAGTAAATTAACATGAAAAAAAGTCAACTCGTTATTGAAATCTCTGACTGCAAAGCTGCAGCTCTGCAGGTAAGGGGCGTTCACTTCAGGACAAATTGCGGTTGCTGATTGGTCAGTTGCTGACATGCTGGATTGATTGACAGGTGGCAGGACTCGTGCAAAAAAAAAAAAAAATCATAGATTTTACTGGCCCGTTTGAAACTGTCATCATTTATTCCATATTCAAAATTTTGTTGAATCTAAGATTTGAGAACTGTTTCCTCAAAATCCTAATGATATTTTATTTTTCAGAGGTGTTGAGTTTAAATTTAGGGGCGCTTGAGCAGCCCCAAAAAGAAGCTAAAATCACTACTGAAGCCAGTTCATATTTATAATTTAGGCTATTTTTAAACGCTTCATGTGTGATTTATAAGTGTATTAGTGCAGGGCCAAAGGAAAAGTTTTTTCAGTGGCAGGAAGCTGTAGGAAGTCTGTCAAAATAAAATATAAATAAGTAAAATTAAATAATTGAATGCACAAAATAGTCACTCCAGCTGTATAGTGCCATTAAGGTAGTCATTGGACTGACTTTCCATTTAACGTTAGTCGGAATGACTGAGTGTAAACACATTGACATTTCAAAGGAAATTTATAGTAATGAGGACAGCTTGGAGGGCCAACTTTGGCCCGCGGGCCCCACTTTGGGCACCCCTGCAATAAACCAAACAGATGCTACACTGGAGAAATGACGAGCTCTGAATGTCTCTGCTGGAACCTCAAGAAGCTAAACTGAGCTGTTACAACTGAAGGAAGCAGAGCACTTGCTAGATGCTAAAAGTAGCAAACAAGCAAACTAAAAGCCTAAAATTGCAAAACTGCTCGTCACAAGCAAATAAATATCTCTCAAAGTGGTAAGCAAAAAGCCAAAATATCAAAAGACTAGCTAAAGGTATCAAGATCCTAAAAGTATCAAAAGACCAGCTAGCGATATCAAAAGTCTAGCTAAAAGTATCAAAAGACCAGCTAAAGGCATCAAAAGACTAGCTAAAGGTATCAAAAGACTAGCTAAAGGTATCAAAAGACTAGCTAAAGGTATCAAAAGACTAGCTAAAGGTATCAAAAGACTAGCTAAAAGTATCGAAAGACAAGCTAAAGGTATCAAAAGACTATCTAAATATATCAAAAGACTAGCTAAAGGTATCAAAAAACTAGTTAAAAGTATCAAAAGACTATCTAAAGATATCAAAAGACTAGCTAAAAGTATCAAAAGACTATCTAAAGATATCAAAACACTATCTAAAGATATCAAAGACTAGCTAAATGTATCAAAACACTATCTAAAGATATCAAAAGACTAGCTAAATGTATAAAAAGACTAGCTAAAGGTATCAAAAGACTAGCTAAAGATATCAAAAGACTAGCTAAAGATATCAAAAGACTATCTAAAGATATCAAAAGACTAGCTAAATGTATCAAAACACTATCTAAAGATATCAAAAGACTATCTAAAGATATCAAAAGACTAGCTAAA